ACACCTCTGTATTAAGGACAGGTAGTATGGGCCCAATGGTGTCCTTAATAAAGAGGCTACACTGTACATGTATTAAGGACAGGTAGTGTGGGCCCAATGGTGTCCTTAATAAAGAGGCTACACTGTACATGTATTAAGGACAGGTAGTGTGGGCCCAATGGTGTCCTTAATAAAGAGGCTACACTGTACATGTATTAAGGACAGGTAGTGTGGGCCCAATGGTGTCCTTAATAAAGAGGCTACACTGTACATGTATTAAGGACAGGTAGTGTGGGCCCAATGGTGTCCTTAATAAAGAGGCTACACTGTACATGTATTAAGGACAGGTAGTGTGGGCCCAATGGTGTCCTTAATAAAGAGGCTACACTGTACATGTATTAAGGACAGGTAGTGTGGGCCCAATGGTGTCCTTAATAAAGAGGCTACACTGTACATGTATTAAGGACAGGTAGTGTGGGCCCAATGGTGTCCTTAATAAAGAGGCTACACTGTACATGTATTAAGGACAGGTAGTGTGGGCCCAATGGTGTCCTTAATAAAGAGGCTACACTGTACATCTATTAAGGACAGGTAGTGTGGGCCCAATGGTGTCCTTAATAAAGAGGCTACACTGTACATGTATTAAGGACAGGTAGTGTGGGCCCAATGGTGTCCTTAATAAAGAGACTACACTGTACATAAGCCATAACTTACTTAACAATGGTGTCACTAGGAGTGCTACCATCAACAAAGAAGAGGTCCTTGTGGTCGAATCCTCCATCAATGAATCTCTGAGCATCGTAGAGTCTCTTGTTAAGTCGGACAATAGTGGAGACCTTGTAGTGACGAAAGTAAGGGAAATAGAACTCTGGGGCATGGAGAGGGTATCCTACAAAGAAAAGATTACAATTATTTTTATTTTTATTTATTTATTTATTTTTACCTTGTTCAATCCTGCTTTTATTGTGAGGGCCGGCAAAAGCTAAAAATTTACCTGAGAGAGAGAGAGAGAGAGAGAGAGAGAGAGAGAGAGAGAGGGAGGGAGAGAGAGAAGAATTTAATTTCAAAGAGATCAGAGAGATAGCGAGAGACAATATGGTAATGTAGGTAGGGTATGATAGAGGAAGAGAGAGTAAAAGGCTTGAACAAACTGCTAACTGCTGCTACTACTAAGAATGTGATTAACACACCAGAATACTAAAACACACTCTCACACACTCAAACTAATCATCGATGATATGCTTATGAATAACCATAAAATTATAATACGTATATAGTGTATGTTATTTCATATCAGTGCTTTGTAGTACTAGTGGTAGTATCTGACACTAGTTGTTGCCTGTAGCAGCACGCATTATGAAGACACCTGTCACACTCTCTCACCTTTTCATTCCCACAAATATTTAATACATGTACATGTACATGTACATATACATGTATATGCATGTATATAACATTAATAGATACATGTAATTGTGTATGTGTTAATTGTCATGAATATAAAGCTTACCAGGTACAATCCAGTTCAAATCGCCATTCTCCACTCTCTAAAAATGTAAAAAAAAGAACACAAATAAATTAAAATCTCCTTCTCCTCTCTCTCCCTTACCTCATAATGTTCATACTCTTCTACATTAAACTGACTGAAATCCAAAAATCCAAACTGGAGTGCCTATACATGTGCATATACAGAATGAAATTAAAAGTCTCAAATTCAATTGCCCTCTCTCTCTCTCTTTCTTTGGATGTCCTCCTTACCTTGTGGACAGCTTGAAAGCAGTGCTGGAGTGTCAAGTTATAAGTACAAGGGCCCATGGCAGCATCCCTGTAGAGAGAAGGAGAGAGAGAGAGAGAGGGAGAGAGAGAGAGGGGGAGAGAGAGAGAGAGAGAGAGAGAGAGAGAGAGAGAGAGAGAGAGAGAGAGAGAGAGAGAGAGAGAGAGAGAGAGAGAGAGAGAGAGAGAGAGAGAGAGAGAGAGAGAGAGAAAGAAGGATTGAGATACAGTAATTATAAGTTGCATGTACTAGCATGCATGATTAATGAGTCAAAAAAGGTAATTTAAGTTATGGAATTAGTACAAATGCTATGGACTATGGCCGGCACTGTGTCAACAAGCACTTAAGAATTCCACTGACCTGAAAGGTTGAAAGGGCGGGTTCTGGGCAGCTGCAAGTGGTCTGAAGGCTTCATCTGGTGTTTTCTTGTGGTAAATAATCTAAAGGCAGAGATGAATAAAGATTTAAAGAGAGGAGAGAGAGGTAGAGAGATAGAGGGGTGGGTGATAGAAAAGAGAATGAAAGTAGGAGAAAATGAACAAGTGAATCATAATGTAGGTGGCTAAACCACAATATTTTCACTACACATATGTACAAGTACATACATTTATAAAGAGGATTCTCTCCCTCCCTCTCTCCTTCCCTCCCTCCCTCTCTCTCTCTTACCACATAGCAACCAATAAGATATGCTGCATTAGCCCTCCTCCTGCTATCATAAGATGTGTAATGAATGATCTTCTTTCTGGC